GGCGTGAGGAGCGCAGTGCTTGTTGTAACCCTCCGCCGTCACCTCCGGGTGCTGCCGGCCCTGAGACGCTCACGGGGGGGACGCAACTTCTTTGGCTTTGTGCACAAACTCTGCTCTTGTCCTCGCAGGGAAAAGACTAAGATGTGCCTTTCCCCTCCCCCTCCATGCCCCCCATTTCCATATGTCCATCAGCCAAAGCCATCTGTGGAATTGATTTTAAAAACAAAGTCCATAACTTTCCGTGAGGATTTTTGTGATCTTTACAGAAGGGTGTTGTGGGTTTGTGGTTTTTTTTTTTTTTTTTATCCCTTTTTTAATTGCAGAATAAACAATAGGGAAGAAAATAAGAAAATAAAATCTGTAGTCAGTTTCATCACACAGTGGCAAAATGTCAAATTAATACAAGGGCCTGTAGTGATAGGACAAGGGGTAACGGGTGCAAACTGGAAACAGGGAGGTTTAGATTAGATATCAGGAAGAAATTCTTCCCAGAGAGGGTGGTGAGGCACTGGAACAGGTTGCCCAGAGAAGCTGTGGATGCCGCATCCCTGGATGTCTTCAAGGCCAGGCTGGATGAGGCTTGGAGCAACCTGGTCTAGTGGAAGGTGTCCCTGCCCATGGCAGGGGGGTTGGAACTAGATGGTCTTTAAGGTCCCTTCCAACCCAAACCATTCTATGATTCTATGATTCTGTCTCAATTTAAACCCGTTACCCTTTGTCCTGTCACTACAGGCCCTTGTAAAAAGGCCCCCTTATGTGGCAAAATTAAGACTAAATCTAACCTTGGCATTAGTACTAAAGGGAAAACTGTGAGATAAATGCTAAAACAGAAATTTTGTTGACTCAGTGTCAGATTTTGTTTATTCCTTTGTTTTCATGTTTAGAATAAAATAGAAAAAGAAATACAGACTTTTTTTTCTATACACACATATAAATTAAATGTTAAAATACTACAGGTTAGGAGCAGGATGGATAGAAAATACAGATGCATTGAAGGTCATAATTCTGAGACTGTGAGGATTGTTTTGATTAGTTGATTCAATTGCTGATTTTCTTCAGGTCAAAACTACTAGCTTGGATGCTGCTGTTATTGCAGAAGGTTTTCTCAGTTGTGTTGCTTTGATACCATCTTTGGTAACTGGAAATTGCCACCACCGTATCTATCCATCTATCTATGTATCTTAGTAGTAGTTTAGTAGCTCTTGATGATTTTAATTAGCATTTACATGAGCTGGAGTGATCTCTTTCATCATTCCCATGAATCGTTCAGCTGGCCTTTCCACAGCACCTGACTCTAGGGCATGTTGAATCACTGGAAACTTTAAATGAACTCAGGTGCTTTAAGAAAGCAGATACTCAGAGCTCTGTATTTCCTTCTGACAGCTAGTGATTCAAATAACGTTTGCATTTCGATACTCTTGTTACAGACATTGCCATCATTGAAGTTTTGGTGTAATTGCCTCATTTTGTTTATTCTGACAGCTCAATTGCTTTTTTGTGTAGCTTAGCAGTTTTGGATTGCTAAGTGGTCTACATACTGTGTTTTGGTGTCTGTAGCATAATTTGTTAGTAATTAAGTTTTAAAAGATGGCAATAGCTGCATTTAAATTACTGCTCAATTTGCTGTTGTATAATAAATATAACTGCTGTATTTTAAAAGACAGCACATTCTCAGTAATCTTCAATGATCCAGTAGGCTATAGATTCAAGTCCAACTCAAATCTTGGGTGGGAAGAGAAAGCATTTTCTTGTTACATTGTTCAAGTCATGGTGATAAATTCTCATGTGGTAGTGTTAGCTTTTAATTTTGAACATCAGTGAGAGGAGTTGCTTTGCATTTCTGTTGGAAAAGAGCTTTACTTTGTTATTTCTGTTTAGAAACAACTGGACAGCCACTGTGTTTATAAAAACTGGGAGAAAGTGTGTGTTTTGACAAGCATGTTCTCAGTTGCTAAATGGAATGTTAGGATTAATACTTTTTGTGCTTCAGTCTGAAAGCAGCTTCAGTGAAGAGGAAGAAGAAAAACTTCAAATAGCTTTTTCGCTGGAAAAGCAGGATCTTCATCTAGTTCTTGAAGCTATATCATTCATTTTGGAACAGGTACATTGTTTCTATCCTTATGAATTTATAAATATATATATTTATCCGATTGTAGATTTCAAAAATACAAAAGACATGTTTTCACTAATTCCTTTTTAACTTGAATCTGTAGTGTATTATGTATGTTTTGGAGGCATTATTTTATTGCTTTTGTTTGCGTGCCTTCCTGATTTGGACTGGACTCGTTGCATTTGTGGAGTGAGTTTCCAGCTAATGTAAATATAGTTGGTGGAAGTGAGCGCTGCATGACTCGGAGAGAAGCGTTGATAATCACGAGATGTAGTCTTCTCTTACTCATTATAAGCAAGACAGCCATGCTTTTCTTATTTTTTAATTCCCATAAGGAAAATATTAGGTGACATTGTTGGGCGCTGCTGAAGTTACATCAAGTGTCAGTTATGGAAAATTTTCAGGCACAGGAGCAGTCTGTGCTTAGGTGAAGAGGTGCACCAGATGTACCTCTGGTGTCTGAATGAGTAGGTGACTGCAAGGTGTAGGGCTAAATATCTTGTGAACAGAGAGGGTTTTATAGTTCTGCAGCATACTGCTGCTGAGACTGGGAAGCCAATGTATTACCTGGTAAATATGTAACTTTTGTAGAAGTTGTCACAGCCACGAAGTTACGCCTTTCAGGCAATTGTGGTGCAGAGAGCATGCAGCTGACCTCTGTTGTGGGATTTGCATCTTGTCTTTTCTTAAACATGTCAGCTCATGATTAGTTCACTTAATTAACACATTCCACAGCACTAGAAAGAAAACAAACAGTCCTCCCCATGGCTCCTATCCACCAAAAAACTCCAAATAAAACACATCTGGTCACATCCAGACTGGAATTTTGAATTTTGATCTCAGCCAAACAGCAAACTTTCCAGTTTTATTTCCTGGCACTAATTTCGTCAGGCTGCATCATTTATGTGATAGGTATTGATCATGAATATAAAAAGCAATTTGGTGTCCTGTAGGACTTTAATTATTTTGCATTAAAGATAAAAAAAAAAGGAAGGATTTTAATATCTGCCCAAAGTAGGCTCCTAGATGGAATACTTCTTGTATGAGGACTCTTTGTTGCTGCTGATAGCTACACTTAATAGAGTAGCTGCTTGCTCTGTCAGAGGGTAGCTTTTAACAGCGCTTTGGTCTATGGGAATGTTACAGATAATAAGACTGCTCCGTGGTCTTTGCTGCATGTGTTGTTTCTTTTTCTTTCTTTTATCCCCTGCCCTGGTGCTGACAGAGTCCTATCAAAGTGGAGATCAGCATACTATATAGACTGTTTACTAGAAAAATTGATGGCATTAGGGAAGTTATATATAACTCACCTTTTCATGGCCACCCTGTCTTACCTTTTCAGATTATTACCTCACAGTTCAAGCTTGGTTGAACAGTGTGATTTTTGGAAGAGTCACCCTGTCTTCACAGTCAGAATTGACTTCGAAGCCCAGCGTTTTTTTCAGTGGTAGCTGCTTTGGCATTACGTGCAGTGGAAACATACATATACTCAGATCTAGCTTGTATATGCATTTTTCATATTTTTTTTATCTGGAGAAGGCTCATTTGTAATGTTGTGTTTTGAGATAACAATTGAGATAGTTGCACTATTCTCTTCATAATCTGAGGGTTAAGATGAGCAGCATGCTTGCAGTCCCACCGTAGAGTTGCTGCTAGAAATGTTGTGTGAACGTGATGGCCGTCTGTGGTAGAATGTATCTGTCACAACTTGTAGAGCAGTACTGGACAACTGCAGTTATTTTTCCTTTTAACAGGCAGTCTATCATAATTTGAAGCCCCCTTCCTTGCAACAACAGCTGCAAAGCATTCACCTGGATGAAGACAAAGCCGAAGCATTTGCCAGTGCATGGGCGGCTGCAGGTCAAGATACGATTGAAAAGTTCAGGCAGAGGGTTTTGAACCCTCAGAAGGTAATGTGTGGTGTGGTTTTGGTGTGGTTTTTTTTTTGTTTAGAGAGAATAAAGCTGTTAGGTTTGTTTTAAAGCAAGGTGTTTAAACTAAGATACAAAGTTTGTGAAACGCCAAAGTGCTGGAAAATGAAAAGGGTGCTTGTAGTAGGTAGATGTGACCAGGGCAGTGGAGTCCCATTGACTTAAAGGGATGTTACTTGTTAGCTGAACTGCTGTAACTTGGAACCTGACCTGTGTGCCCTGTTAGCAGTGTAAAGTAATGCAGCCTTCATACCCTTTGGATATGTTTGTGAACACGCTTTATGACAGGGCAAGGGTAGGATGTGCTCATGAACACTGCTTGTGGTGGTTTAGCTCATCAGGGTGTTGATTCTCTGTACCTAAAGTGTATCTAAGCTTCTGCCATCTTTAATTTTGTAAGGTAGTTGGGGGGTACATTTTTTGTGAGATGCTTGTCACGCTTCTGAGATGCTTTTCTATGATGGCATAACAATCCTGTTTCACATGTGCCTGTTACCAATTCAAACTGTGGTATGTGCTGTGGAAGTCTCATTGTGTCTTCAGACATAAATGTCTGCGTCTAGGAGAAGGTGTAATAACGTCCTTCTGTTGATTCATCATAAGCCTTCAGCTGCATTAGAAGATGTGTAGAGAACACATCAGTGTCAGCCAGGATCAAACTGTTGGAAAGAATTGTGGAATACTAACTCAATTATCCTTGCTTTATTCTTATTGTTGTTATATGTGCACTTGGGATAAGAGTCAGTTTGTTACTTTATGATTTGGTTAGTAAAATATACATAGAAAATAAATTTTGTATGTAAGGTACACATGATACACTGACAGAAGTAGAGCAACATAATTTATGCTAGCAGGTTTGCACCTAAATAAACCTACAGTTTTATTTAGCTGTGAAACGTGCATTTTTGTGTGAAAATTTAGCTGTGAAATGAGAACACAAGATATGTCTGTGGAGCAGACTAAAGATACTCAGTAGTGCATCACAGGTGATTTTTTCCAAAGTGTAGAAACTTGATCCTTTGTAAAACTGGGTAATTTTAGACACAGTACTTCTAAAATTTTCATTTGCAAAATTAGAGGAATTCACGGACCTAACCAAGTAAATAACTGATAATGTACGTATGCAAAGAAAAAGAAAATCAGAGTTGAGCAAGACATTTTGGGCTTCTGTCTTTTTGAGATAATATTCACCAGTGCCAAGCAGACAAGTCCCAAAGTTTAAGTGGTCAGCAATACAGCGAGTATATAGGCAAGTGTGACTGTCCCTTGAAGGAGGTGAGTAATTAGAAAACCAAGTGAAATCACAGGTGTAAGGCTAACTTTTCAGAATGCAGCGTATGTGTGCAGAATGGAAGGCAGTTCTGAAAATACCCTACAAAGCAGCTGTCTGAGAATTTTCTTCAGACAGACTGTGCACTAATACATATTTTACTGCTGGGTCTTCAGCAGGTGAGAAACGGTTACAAATGTCTTTTATCATCTCTTATTTGGAGCTTGTACCATACACACCTGTGGTCCTTCTGTGACCTAGTTTGGGGGTGACATTGCTTTCTTTTCCTGTCTGCAGTTCTGTGAGGCTTTGAAAAGATCTTCATTCTGTAGACTTTAATTGAGTGAAGAACTCAGAATTCAAGAGAACGTTTCCATAACTGAAAGCCTCAATTCACAGTGCTAATTGCTAAATAAAGTATTTATTCTGCTAACAAGGCACATGAAGGTAAAATATTTTAGAAATTGCATGGAATAATGGAAAAAGAACTTCGTAAGGAGCTATCTCCTTACAGTCTTAATCTCCTTGTAATGTCTTACGAGTGCTGTAGATGACTGCATGATCATTTCATTATCTCCTTCTGTATTCTATAAGTAATTGTGTATTAGCACGTATTTACTGTATTATTTTTCTATGCCTTGAAAAGTAATGGGCAGAATAGTCTCTTACTTGTGATACATTTTTATAGTGGCTAACCTGCTGTAGACTTTCATCAGCATCTTGAATTAAAGTTTAAAAAAAGGTCAAGAGTCCTGAAAAATGCTTAGACCACAGTGCTAGCTTTTTAAATTAATTTTGCAATTTAGGTTTTTAGAGTGATTTAGAGATTATATTAACTTATTTCTTTGTAAAAAGAGATGTGTATCTGATTATTAATACTCTCTGGAACACGTATATATGGATATAACATGTAAAACAACTGACCCTATAAATACGCTCTGGGTGTAGGTAGATATTTACATGGCTGTGTGTAAGTTAATGATTTGTGCTGTTCACTTTTCTCACAGAACCAGTATTCGGTACATAAAAAGATTATGCCAGGTCTCAGAATCATAGAATGGGTTGGGTTGGA